CCCTGTCTACTTTTTTTTTAGTCCTTCTCGACCTTATTTCTTGCTCTCCCGTCGCAAATTTCTTTCACCTTTTCCACCACACCAAGCCACCTTTTGCCTCTTAAGCCTTGAACTTGTTTTCTTTACCTGGAATAATCCCTTTCTCCTCTCACATTTATTTGACTGATAGTTTTTTTTTTTTTTCTTGCTCTTTCCCCGATTCCTATTAATTCTTATGGTCTCAGCGCAGATGCTTCTTTTTCCAAAAAGCCTTCCTGATAGCCTTTTCTTGTATTTAACAATACAGCTCAATCACATTGTACTTGTCTGTTTACTCTGTCTTCATTCTGCACTAGACTAGTTCTTCACCTTTATAACCCCATCAGTAGGCCAGGTGCTGTGGCTCACACCTGTGATCCCAGCACTTTGGGAGGCCAAGGTGGGTGGATCACTTGAGGTCAGGAGTTCAAGACCAGCCTGGCCAACATGGCAAAACCCGTCTCTACTAAAAATACAAAAATTACCTGGGCATTGTGGCAGGTGCCTGTAATCCCAGCTACAGGAGAATGGCTTGAACCCAGGAGGCAGAGGTTGCAGTGAGCCGAGATGGCACCACTGTACTCCAGCCTGGGTGACAGAGCAAGACTGTCTCAAAACGAAAAAAACAAAAACCCAAAAACCCATCACTCAGCCCTGTGGCTGAAATTCAATAAGCATTCAAAACATACTTGTTAAATAATATATCTTAAAGTTCGTTAAGATTGATATTTTATTGCACTGTATTTTTCTATATTTTCTAATCTAAAAATAACATTTGTATAATCCAACGCATTAAATGTTCAATATATATGAAATAAATTTTATTTATTTTTATTTATTTATTTTTTTAAAGATGGGGTTTCACCATATTGGTCAGGCTGGTCTCAAACTCCTGACCTCGAGATCCATCCACCTCAGCCTCCCACAGTGCTGGGATTACAGGCGTGAGCCACCACGCCCAGTCCTGAAATATATTTAAAAATCCCATTAAGATAGTAAGGTCATACTTGTGCATAAAGTTTGGTTTTAACAACAGTGAGCTATAACTTGGTCCCTATTTTAAAATAGGGTGTTGCAGCCATTGTGGTTCATGCCTGTAATCCCAGCACTTTGGGAGGCCGAGGTGGGTGGATCATGAGGTCAGGAGTTTGAAACCAGCCTGGCCAACATGGCGAAAACCCGTCTCTACTAAAAATACAAAAATTAGCCGGGTATGGTGGCAGGCACCTATAGTCCCAGCTACTCAGGAACCTGTGGCAGGAGAATCACTTGAACCCGGGAGGCAGAGGTTGCAGTGAGCAGAGATCGCGCCACTGCACTCCAGCCTGGGCAACAGAGTGAGACACTGTCTAAAAAAAAAATATTTTTATTCAGAGCCAGGCGCAGGGGCTCATGCCTGTAACCAGCACTTTGGGAGGTTGAGGCAGGCAGATCACAAGGTTAGGAGCTCGAGACCAGCCTGGCCAACATGGTGAAACCCCATCTCTACTAAAAATACAAATATTAGCTGGGCGTGGTGGTGGGCACCTGTAATCCCAGTTTCGAGGGAAGCTGAGGCAGGAGAATCATTTGAATGCTGGAGGCAGAGGTTGCAGTGAGCCGAGATTGTGCCATTGCACTCCACCCTGAGAGACAGGGTGACACTCCATCTCAAAAAATATACATATATGTAATTCAAAAGTAATAAAATATATCTTACCAACTTTATTCATTCAAAAATGCACAGTTATAGTAGTACGTCATGAAATGCCAGCCTCATTTTAATTCAGATTTACACCACTGAACATGAAAATAGCTTTTAGCTTTATTTAGCAATTTCATGAAGAAAAAGTTCATTCACAGAGCTGTGTAAACTCAAACATAGGTTACAGAGCAAAAATTTCAGGATTGCTCTGGGATCCATATATATGTTTCCAAATTTTAAAGCAGTGTCATGCTGTCTAGCATAGTTTACTTCTATCTCAATCTGCTTCTCTTGAAAACAAGCCACAGTTTTGGCTGGGTAATTCAGACATATCCTGAGATTTGTTCTTTAAAAGCTGCCATAAAAACTGAAAGCGTAATTCATACTCATTAAAAGCTGTGGATCTCTTCTGAAAGTGTGAAATGGATTAAGTTGATGAAAGTATGTTTCATATTTTCTTCATTCATCTAAAATTTCCCTATTTTTGAAATGTGATCAGGCTGGTCTTCACTAAATTATGTGATTCCACGGAACTCTGGGCAGCTCAGCACTGGAAGCTCAATACAGATTCCAGTTACCATCTACTCCATTCCCAGGTCCAGTAGAAATCTGAATACCTGCTCTTCCATCAACAGGTTTCTTGTGCGATCACAAGTTCACTGGTTGTCATGTCATACTGGTAAACAAACTGTTCCTCTGTGAACCACTAAGAGTTACATTTCTTAGATTAGGGGAAACAGCTTGAAAAATCTCTTTGAATTTTCATGACATAGAGTTAAGCTATTTCACTATAAAAAATCAGCCAAATCAACGTGTCCATCAATGGAGGACTGGATAAAGAAAATGTGTGTGTGTGTGTGTATGCACACACACACAGTGGAATACTACTCAGCCATAAAAAAGAATGAAATCATGTGTTTTCTAGCAACATGGATGGAACTGGAAGCCATTATCCTCGGTGAGATAACTCAGAAACAATAAGTCAAATATGGCATATTCTCACTTATAAGTGGAAGCTAAATAGTGGGTACACATGGACATACAGAGTGGCATAATAGACATTGGAGACTATAAAAGGTGAGAAGGTAGGAGGAGGGTGAGGGTTGAAAAACTATCTATTGGGTACAATGTTCACTATTTGGGCGATGCATACACTAAAAGAAAGCCCAGAGAGTTCATCCCTATGCATGCAATATATGCATGTAAGAAACCTGCACTTCCTGCAAGATCTGCACATGTACCTCAGAACTTAAACTATAAAAAAAAAAAAAAAATAGAATTGTTTATACCGTGAGTGGCACAGAAATGTCCACCATGTTTTCAGTAGCTTGGAAGAAATAGCCTGTAAATAAGTCTCCAGAGGCCGGGCGCGGTGGCTCAAGCCTGTAATCCCAGCACTTTGGGAGGCCGAGGCGGGTGGATCA